AATTACATGTGTCTAATGTCAAATATGTGAGTTGCTTTCAATTATATTATGATCAATTTCTACTTGATACGATCAATTGTAAAAAAAATTTAACATGTTCAAAGTAATTTGTTAAATTGAAATTGGAGTTAGTAATTTAAACTGCAAATCGATTGTGCACGTGCAACACATGAGCATCCCAATAGTAAGCTATCATTATAGACTCTCTTTCATACTATTATGTCAGTAAATAACTCACGAATCAAATATTGAATTGTGAACTTCATACATTTAAAAGAGATCGAGAAAGCTATGATTTTTTTTCTAGTTCAAAAAATTCTTTTCATACTAGCGAAGTTCATTTTTAAATCAATAAAACATGGTAAAAATAGAAATTTCTCCATATTAAAATTTTTAGTTGAGGGAACTAAGAGTTATTTGCTCAAAAAATGAATATTTTATTAAATAAATTAAAATTATCTGCTAAACAAACTAAATTTAATTTCGAGAATATTTGAGAATATATACTTACAAGAACATTAAGAATTAATTTTTTTTGTGAAATTTTGAAATCTATTTTTTTACAATATCTAATATGGATATATATACATATATATCATTTAAGAGAATTTATTTTATAAAATAAATTATTATCTTAAATTGCGATTTACTCTTTGAGCATGTTTTTATATACGTAAAAAGTTTTGTCTGTGTGGATTTTATATAAATAATTATTTACTTAATCTCATTGTCTATGTTTTGTTCTTGGTTAAATCCGAGTTGTGTGTTAATCTATTATCCATAGAAGTACATAAATTATTGAACGATACAAGTGGTTATATATTAACTTAATTGGTTAAATACAACTCATTTTTCCATTTCGATTTTGGGATTTCTGAATTACCAAAAATGTTAAACGTAAATATCAATCATTCTATTTGGATGTACCAAAAATATAAAATCTTCTCACAAGTCCATGTGAATAATGATTTCAAACATCACATACGTTGATATTCTATATGGATCTACTCTTTAATAATTTCCATACGTACAACATTCTATAAATATCTCATTTCTCCTTATATAAACTGATAAACGAATCACACCACCACATTCACAATCATATTCAGACAGACATCAAACGAACATGGATCCTTCCTCATTTTTTTTCTTCCTCTATCATCGCCATCAAACTCAGACATAAACACTTCGTCCGTCATCAACTCCTTCCTAAAATATTCACATCATAAATATTCTAAACAAACAACATAATATTACTACCTTTGTAATTCACCCACTACATCATGAACAATTTAAACAATTAAAGAAGCTTATTCCTCACTATTTTTGTTATTCATGCGTCAATTCGACCAAAATCAGCATTAATTTGGAAGCATAAACAACTTACACAATATATAATTATATCAAATATGGATAGGCAAGTCCAACAAACAAAATATTTATTTAAACATTTCCATTGGAATATTATCAAAAAAACTTAAAGAGAGAATGTCTGATGGATTTCTGATAATTTCCTAACCAGTGCTGCATATGAACTCCAATAGCATCCAAGTAGAGGCTGCTCCGGCCATGGAAACCAACCACTTTTCCTTCAGTAGTTGTTGAAGTAAAAAATGTTCCCTTTTCTTGCCCGAAAGGTCCGTACTTCCCTCTGCTACTGTAAAAAGTTATTGACTTTATCACATTTGATTTATCTTCTTTACTCACCGCCCCATAATACCCACATATGCAACTCAATACTTCATGTGGGTAGTTTAATTTTACCCGATGAGTGACAACTCCTGCATTCCCACCATGTTTAACAGACCAAACAGATTGACCATTCCGATCATACTCAATTTGAATGGAGGAAATAGCATCTGATGATCTGGTCACAAATATTTGTTTAATCCCAGAAAATACCCCATCATCCCATGGTCTTCCTCCATCTCCTCCCCATGGACCCGGTCCACATGGTGCTGGTTCTTTTACAACTCCACAAGAAACCTCTTCAATGGCTCCTGGTTTAGCGAGCACTAACTTATTCGACCAACCTGAATTCTGTATTTCAGCTACGTGTCCTTCTATAACTTTGTAAGAAGATGGATTTAAAGGTGTTATTTTGGCTTCCTTCACATATACACCAATGGCATCAAGGAACAAACCTTCTTTTCCATGGAACCCAACAATCTTGCCTTGGTTTATTTTGTTGGAGAAAGTGGGTCCTTGTTCTTCTCCATATGGACCATGTTTACCTTTATTTGTGTGGAAAGTTAATGACTTTATGACATTAGGACCCATGTACATTAAAGGTCCATAGGTTCCTGTTATATGTGTTAAAATCTCTGATGGGTAATCAAAGATTATCTGCAACAACACCAATTTATATATGTACATATAGGTCAATATTCATCTTTTTCTATTTAGAAAAATTAAGAAAAAGAAAAACCAAATTGGATTTACCTTATCACTTCTGAATCCTCCAGTACCTCCATGCTTGCTTCCCCATATAGCTTGCCCATCATGGTCGTAACAGACTTTGATCGACACAATTCCAATGTTCCTCGATAAATTAACTTGTCTAATTCCACTGTAAACACCATCGTTGAATATCAGTCCACCATTGCCGCCCCATGGTCCGTATGTTATCACTCCTTCCTCTTTGGAGACTACCTTTGGAGTCTGGATAAATTAACATTAAGTTATTGGTATGTAAACCATGGTATATATTAAGCAAATTATATATATACCTTGGCAGCTACTTCATCACTGGAACAATCTTGGGACCCAGAAGATTGCCTGGAGAGAACTATACTGGGTGAAGGCTTGGCATGTAAATCCTTCTGTCTCACAGCAAGAACTATGTCATAACTTTCTGCTACACTGCCTTGAATAACAGAGAAACTAGAGCTGCTGTTTGACTGAACAAGTGTTTTTGAGGATTTCATCTCAGGCTTCATCAAGCTGTAAACCCCAATGGCATCCACGTACCAACCACATCTCCCATGGAGCCCTACGATCTTCTCCTTCTCTCTTGGCACAAGAAAGGACTTACCTTGTTCAATTCCAAATGGACCATATTTTCTTCTATTGCTCTCAAAAACAAGTGAACGAATCACTTCAGGTCCACCCAGTAAATCTTGGCTCCCGTATTTTCCACCAATTGATGACAGAAACTCATCTGGGTAATCAAGCTTCACCTATATGTATAAAATATATAGGTCTGTTAAACATATATGTGACCATATTTTTATGTAGTTAAATTACGGTTTAGAGGGTTCAATATAATTAACCGTGTCAGTGTTATTTCCTCCATTCCCTCCATGCTTCTTTGACCAAACTGATCGTCCATCTTTTTCATACTCAATCTGAATGGAGTCAATGCAAGCACCATGAGTTATCACAATCTGTCGTATACCTGAGTAAATTCCATCATCCCAACGAGACCCTCCTCCTCCTCCGCATGGTCCAGATGAGACTGGGTGCTGCTTCCTCATATCCTCAACATCAACAGTAGTGATCTGCAATATCAAAGTGAATCATTTCTTTAGAATCTACGTATATATATATATACGTATATAATTACAAATACGTCAGTGTACAGTGATTAATAATCTTACCATTTTCTTTAATGGTAATGGTAATGAAGATGGTGATGACTAAAAGAGACTGCAAAAAAAAAATGGTGAACAAAGAACAAGCTAGAAAAGCTGAACTTAGTTTTGGGGTGATTTGATAGTAGGAGATATATATATATATATATATATATATGTAATATATAGCACAAAATTTATGAGGAGGGAGAGGGATATTCTTATTCTGGTTTCCACTATGGAGGGGCAAAACACAAAGCAAAAGAATCTGATGCTACAAAGAATCTCTGAGAGGCTTTATGATAAGATTACAAAAAGTTGCACTTGAAAACATATTCTCTGTTATGGCTTTTATATATAGCGCGAAGGAAAAGCAAATCATCATTGCATATTGGAAAAATAAGCATGAATTAATTGAGATACTGCAAGAAATCTCGAGGAGTGATTTGACTTCTTGATTTCCGGGAAGAAGAATCTGAAGAGTTGATGAGCTAAACAATAGAGAGAATGTAACGTAGACAACTTTAATTCAGAGTTTTGACTGTAAATACATTATATTATAATAAAATAATTTATAAGAATATTTCATGCAATAAATTTTAAAATAATAAACAATATATCCCTTACATAATTAATTCAAAATATCTAATATTTATAAGATATATCTAAACTTTAAAATAAATACTCATTAAAAACGAATTAATTAACATTAAGTATTGTTTGAATTAAAATAAAAATTAAATAATCTTCTAACAATTTTTTTACTGTTCACGAGCAAAATTCTGAATATACTAATTTAGAAGAAATGAATAATAAATAGGGTGAGTTTAATATACTCAATAAGCATGTAAGTACCAACAAATAATATGATAATATGTCCAAGTTGGTAGAAAACATAAAACTACCGACGAAAATAGTTTAAAATATTTTTCTCTTTAATTCAGAAAGCACGTTGTATCTACACCCAAATTCAATGACCAAACCTGATAAATCAGCTTATTGAGTAAACATTTAAAATTTATTATTTCAGTATCATAATTCAGAGTATAAATATTTTAATAAATAATATAATTCAGTATTCAATATCACAATTTAAGCAGTAAACAGTTCAATAGATATAAATCTAGTATTTTGGTATCGTAAACTTTACTCATAACTTCTTATTCCTTTTCTATCAGTTTATATCTTATTAAAAATAGTTTCACCACTTGATGGTATTTCTGACGTTATCAATGAGAGTAATAAGAATCCCCTCTACCACGTGAATATGTCCGAATTCTGTTCACAGTTCATAGTTTGCAGTACACAGTATACAATTTGCAGTACACAATATATAGTTCATAGTTCTTATCATTAGTCACGTTTGACATAGAGTCGTATCCACTGGTACAGTTCACCACAGTTTCACGCCAAAAGGCTACACACACACCCATCCCTCGGTGATACTGGTTAAATGAATTTTTCAAATCTTTTAGTGTCTATTTATATATTTCAACTCACTAATAAATTTCTTCATTTTTTTTATTTAATATATTCTATACCTATAACACACACAGTGTAACTATTCATCACCCTACACTCTTCTACGTATCTTTAATATACTCCCAATTACATAGCAACTAGTACATATACAAATTCAGTTACCAAAACATAGCAAAATAATTTATTAACAATTTCAGTAGTAAACATAAATAGAAACACAATAATCAACAGTAAAATCTCATCTGAATCTTGTGCTTAATTATCAATTATTAAACGCCATAGTTTTAATATCTTAGAAAGATTAAACTACATTTGTAAGCGCTTATGCACTTATCTGATTTCTGTCTAAATCTTGTTCGTGAAATTATTTCTGATGTACAAAATTAAAATGTTACAGTGATATCCGTATCGGGTTAGTAATGAATTGATTATTCTTTAATTTTAAACACCCATATCTAGACTTATTTTTAATTTTAAATCAGATAAATAATTTATTGTATTAAATTAAATAGGATTAATAAACTCTAAATCTAAAATGGTAAACCATTAGGGTTTTAAACTCACTTACTAGAACCAGGTTCCTTAGACTCACTACGTGCAACCAACGGAAGTCTGCGTGCCTCCACACACACCGCCACCAAACCGCCACGCACTGCCGTTTGCCACTGCTCGTATTGGCCGAAATTCACCGCAGAGTGCTTCACGCCCTCAGATCCGGTACAGATCTGGTGGAATCGCGCCAAAGGGAGTCGTGAAATAGCAAAATGCATGCTGAGCCACCGCACAAATCGTCTTCTTCTCTTGCGCACTGCTGCGCGCAACACCAGCCTCTCCTCCTCTTTTTTTTCTTTTTCTTCTTCCTCTCCTCTCTCGGCTGACGATTGATGAAGAATGCAGCCCTTCTCTCTCTCTCTCTCTCTCTCTCTCTCTAATTTATTGCACCAATCTCCCTCCCTCCCTTTGTATTTTATGGGGAGGGGCGGGAGGAATCCTAGATGACCCTTCTTCCTCGGCGTGCAGGTCTCCTCCTATTCTTTATCAGCCAATGGTAGAGGCATACTTGCCTCTGCCTCTTCACCTTTCCCGACCAGAGGCAAACACACCTCTGGATTTTTTCTCTTTTACATAAAACGGTGCCATTTTGAGGTTTCCCAAAACGATGTTGTTTTGGTCTATTACAATCTCTCACTCTTAGAAAAACTTGGCCGTCCAAATTTATTTTATTAATATAAAATGTCATTACATAAAGTTAATCTAAATTATAAAACATTAAATAGATGGGGATATTTGTCTCGAAATTTCATTTCTAGCTCCCAAGTGGCTTCCTCTTGAGTGTGGTTCTGCCACAAGACCTTAACTAGGGGAATCACTTTGTTCCAAAACACTTTTTCCTTCTGGTCTAAGACAGTGACAAGAACTTTTTCATAGGATAGATCCTTCTTAATTGAAAAAGACCTGTAAGGTATCACATGAGATAGATTAGGATTGTACTTCCATAGCATCGATACATGGAATATGTAGTGAACTCGAGATAGCTCAGGGAGCAATGTTAATTGGTTGCTCTAATTCTCTCTAAAACCTTAAATGGGCCAATAAATCGAGGGCTTAACTTTCCATTCTTTCCGAATCTACTAACGCCTTTGAGAGGCATGATCTTCAGAAAAACATGATCACTTACCTCGAATTCTAGGTTCCTTCTTCAGTTATCTACGTAGTTTTTCTTTATACTCTAGGCTACATGAATGTTTTTCCTTATCTTAGCAATCTTTGCAGTAGTTTCGCCAACTAACTCTGGGCCAATTAACTTCATTTTCCCAACTTCTTTCCAGCAGATGGGTGACCTACAGGGTTGGCTATACAATGTTTCATAGGAGGCCATACCAATGTTTGCCTGGTAGCTGTTGTTATAAGCAAATTCTATTAGTGGCAAATGGTCATCTAAAGATCCACCAAAGTCTAAAACACATGCTCGTAGCATATTCTCCAATGTGCGAATGGTTCTCTCTAATTGTCCATCTGTCTAAAGATGAAAAGCAGTGTTGAAGAATAGTTAAGTGCCCATGGCTTGCTAAAAGTTTGTCCAAAACCTAGAGATAAATCTAAGATCTCTATCAGATACTACTGAAACTGGAATCTCATGTAGTCTTACAATTTCGCGGATATAAGTTCTGTCTAACTTATTCAAAGAGCTTGTCATTTTCACTGTCAGGAAGTGGGATGACTTAGTTAACCTATCCACGATCACCTAGATAGCATCATGGCCTGCTCAGGTCCTAGGTAATCCAATCACGAAGTCCATAGTGATATGTTCCTATTTTTACTCGGGAATTGACAAAGGTTTGAGGGGTTCACCAGGATGCTGTTGTTCTGCTTTCACCTGCTGATAAGTGAGGCATTTAGAAACATACTCAACGATATCTCTTTTCATACCATTCCATCAAAATCGGGGTCTCAAATTCTGATACATTTTAGTACTACCGGGATGTATGGCGAATTTAAAGCAATGAACCTCAGTCAAAATATTTTTTTTTAATTCATCGTTATTGAGAACACACACTCTCTCATTAAATATGAGTAACCCATCATCTAACACTCTAAACTCTAGCTTTAAACCTTACTTTGTGTCTTCCCTAATGACCAATAATGTAGAGTCAATCAACTGAGCATCTCTGATCTGTTGTAGTATTGCAGGTTGGACATTTAAACTGGTCAAATAAACACCTTCAACCTGATCACAAAGTTGAATTTCCTGCACAGCCTCTAAAAGCTTCCACTCAGAAATCATCATGCAAGCCAGCATACCTACATTCTTTCTACTAAGTGCATTCGCTATTACATTACCCTTGCCTGGATGATACAAGATCTTACAGTCATAATCTTTTAGTAGTTCTATCCATCACCTTTAGTGCATGTTGAGATTCTTCTGAGTGAAATATATATTTTAGACTTTTATGATCAGTATAGATCTCAAATGTTTTACTATACAAATAATGATGCCA